AGCTAGAATTTATTTATTTATTTATTTATTTATTTTATTTTATTTCTATCCCGCCTATCTGGTCATACTAGACCACTCTAGGCGGCTTACAATCGGAACAAGAATTAGGAACAAGTTAGAAAAGAAATCTGAAGGAGGGATTAGTTGCCAGGGAATGGACTGGCACTAAAGACGGGAAGGTGTTACAGTATACCATTCTATAGGCAGATAAGTTGAAAGAGCAGGCCAGCTGAAAGCATGCAGTGATGGTGAGAAAAGTGGAAGGTGAGCAGTTTACATGTCTTTGTGCTATTGCTCATTCCTTGCTTTGTCTTCTCCAACTGATGGAGAAGAGGGAAGGAAAGAAACAGAGCAGAAGAATGAAGAGAGGGAGGAGTAAAAACAAAAATCCACAAATTAAAGCCCCATCTTGTGTGTATAGCTGATTTCCTGAATCACTTGGGAAAGTATTTTTAAATTTATTCAGACAAAAGTGAGAGCTGTGGTTAAAAGTTAAGGAAGAGTTCCAAGATTTTAATGTAGCTGTGCTTGAGGTAGGGGAAATAAAGCTCAGAAGGAAGCAGGAAGTTGTAAGATGAAAGGAAAAATGGCAAACAAGGGCACAAGAGAAGGGGACCTATGAAGCTAGGGCCTTCTGGGAAAATTCCTCTTTCACTCTGTTGATTTCTGCAGCTGGATCCCACTTGGATATTACCAAGTTCCAAATCTTAGGGGCCATCAGGTGTAACTGTATATCTGTTGTAGACATGGACATCTCACTGTGTTACAAGAACCAAGACAGACTCGAAGCAAACAAGGAATGGTTACCATACCTGAAACTTTTTCAACTACCGATACTGAGGTATAATGGCAGAGGGCAGATGCTGCCAATATCCTATACTGAAAATCCAGAGAATCAATATCTAGAATACAGAGATCTAGAAGCTGTAGAAAGAAACCACACATTCTGTTAGGAAGATGTCAGTATAACCATGAAGATACCAAACATTACAAAATGGAGTAACAGTTCATTGCAACATTTCCCAAATAACATTAGAAATATGAGCAACCATTGTTTGGGCTGTACCAATAGGACCAGTATCACAAAGCTCATGTTACCTGTACCGATATAATTCTGCTCCCCCCCCCCATGGTTAAACTCTCAGCCTTTAAAATAAAGCTGTCCACAGGAGATCTGATAATCATCAGTTGGATCAAGCTGAAACATTTGATGAAATGGCTGCAAGTTACGAGGACAAGCAAATTTCAGTTATGGATCTCATTTTTCACGAGACCCCTATGATCTATAAACCAGAAAACAGGTGCACAATCCTTATACTTAACAGTTAAAGAATTCTGAGCCTAGGAAATTTTTCTGAGTATCAAACCTTATGGAACACACCACTCTTTCATACAGAAATCTACTGCTGGTTACCCTCCCAAGCTTTTTTCATTTGTGCTGTTCATGGCAGGGAGAATATGATTGCTATTCAAGAATTAAAGATCAGAAACCCGTGGTGCTCTGCGAAGCTCATCCACATAGGTAGCTCGAGATCTACCTTGAGTACACACACCTTCTCCTTGAGATTATCACTGTCCCCCATTGCATTACAAAACAAACATAAAAGGAGCCATGCTGACTCAGATGAAAGAAGGGTCTCTAACACTATGCGCCACACTGGTCAAATAAGACGTACCACAAGCAGCATATTGGCAACCTCCCACTTGTTTTCCTAAAAACTACCAAGGCACACTGACTCAAAAGTGAACTAATTAACTTTTGTGCTCATTCTGTAAAAGCTTAGTGTAGCAAAGACAGTTTTTTTAATCATCTTTTAATTCTTTTGGAACTGAAGGGTGCTTTGAAAAACATTTTATAATATCCAGAATGGAGCCGAAGAATTCGCATGTGCTTGTATGTGCACATATATTAAACCCTTCATCCTCAGCATAACCTGTGCATTTTGTAGTCTACTATCTCAGCCTGAGAAAAATGCTGCATTACAGAACACTCTTAGAAATCAGATGAAAGAAGGGTCTCTAACACTATGCGCCACACTGGTCAAATAAGACGTACCACAAGCAGCATATTGGCAACCTCCCACTTGTTTTCCTAAAAACTACCAAGGCACACTGACTCAAAAGTGAACTAATTAACTTTTGTGCTCGTTCTGTAAAAGCTTAGTGTAGCAAAGACAGGTTTTTTAAATCATCTTTTAATTCTTTTGGAACTGAAGGATGCTTTGAAAAACATTTTATAACATCCAGAATGGAACTGAAGAATTTGCATGTGCTTGTATGTGCACATATACTAAACCCTTCATCCTCAGCATAACCTGTGCATTTTGTAGTCTACTAAATGCTGCATTACAGAACACTCTTAGAAACTGAGACATACAAAGACAGAAAATCTAAGCCAATGCAATGAAGAAAAGAACTGGGACAGCTATATGGGAGTGATCTGCAGGCCACATGGCCTTTTGGGCTTGTATCCCAATGTCTCTTTGGCATCTAGTCAGCGCAAGATCTTCCAGTTACTTCCAACTGACATGTATCAACTGTCAAGAAGCCAAGGTCTTTCTTCCAGGTCATAATTGTTAGCTTGATACCATTATGCACTGTATGCTCCAGCACAAGAACTCACCTGTGCTATTTCAATGAACATTTCCTGAGAATATTGAGGTAGCAGCACCTTTGGAATATCTTTCGCAGCATCCACTTGGAGATAGAGGTTCAGCCAAGAGACAATTGACACAGGGCATAGCTCCCACTTTAGAGCCTACAGATATTTGAATATCAGAACATGACTTTAGGTTAGCCAAGTACAATAGTTTACCTATGGTGATGCCTAATATGTACAACCTCAGCAAGCAAATTTTAATTCTCAGCTTTCAGGCGGAAGAATGGGTTAGTTCCTTTGCTGCCCAGGTGAGACAAAGGACACACAACAGAAAAGCATTAAAATAAAAAGGCTTCACTAGACCACAGAAAACAATTTTTACATCTGCTGTTCTGTGTAATATCAGAGAACTCAATGAACCTTTTTCCAGATTAAATGCTTTTTAACAGAGTAAAAAAATTGTTTCCCAGTAAAACCAAGCAAACTATTCTGCCATTACATACCTTATACAGATATAGTTACTGTTTTTCAGAATCTTTGTACTAGAAGTTTTTAGCTGCTTCCAATCCTGATGAAGTCAGGACATTAAGCTTTAAGTGACCGGCTGTTCCTTTACAGAGAATGTATCCTAGTGGATTTTATGACATACATTACTTCTATGCAATCAGATTCAGAGTGTGGCATTTGATTTTGGCAATGTTTAATTAAACAGCCAATAGAGCAATTCTTAGAATATTGTCTCTAGAACTGTGCTAGCTTAGAATTGTCTGCATATTCATTATGTTACCTTTAGTACAATGAGCTCCATCTTTATAATGTCATCTTCACTGCAAGCACCATCAGTAACATATGCAAACTCCTGCAGTTTGGGAGCATATATCTCCTTATTAAAAGAAGAAAACAAAAACAGTATTAGACCACAACTGATCAGCATAGTGCTCGACACCACTATTAAGTAGACTGCTAATTTTTTAATTTGAGTAATTAGTCATGTACAAGGTGGGTAGCCTGTGAGCACTGTTGATCACATGCAGGGGTTATCTGGCTTCTTCATTTCCTTCACCAATCAATTCAGAAAACGACAACATTTTTGTCATAATTTACTCACACTTGCCAGTTGAAAACCTGTGGGTGCTCTGAAGCTACTACCAAGAATTCATCTGCATGGTCATCAATGACAAATGAACCCTTTCCCAAATGGGAAAGTGATTGCAAATTGGGGGAAAAACTGATTAGCAATGTAATTCCTGGTCATACAGATGTGTTTAGCTGTATCAATTAATTAAGGTAAAGCAGGAACTACAGTTTGCAAGAACAAAAAGGCATTTCCTCACTATAAGGACATATAGTTATGATGATCAAAGGACAAACCACAAGAGGAGCCGATTCACAGAAGTGGTGCTCCCATGCAATCCCAAATAGGTCATAAACACAGTGGCAGTTCGACAGCCAACTGCACGAGGATGTAAAACCCCAAGTAAATATGTTAAAGTGGTTTTAATGTATAGAATTAGGATTTTATGATAGGGTTGGTTTACATGATTTTATTATATATTTTAGCTAAATAAGGTTTTTATTTATTTAAGGAGTGTGTAATCTTTTAGTGGAAAGGCAGAGCATAAATGTATTAAATAAATATTTAGCTCCCAATCATAAGGGCGCCCCCTTTCCTTTCTCAGTTACTGCACTCAAATGGAATTTCAACAAGATATATATTTAGTTTTGATATTTTTAAGCTATTTTGTATCTGATTTTAATGTACATTACCTTGAAATGAAAGTTATGGATGAAGGCACAATTTACACATTTTTTAAAATAACAGAAAATCCTGTTGTACATTTCAGTCTTGAAGATGGTATCACTGGCAGGGGGAGATTTTAGCTAATGAAAGATATCCGCCTTTGGTCTTATGGTTTGTCTGACACTCATGTAATTACTTTCATTGTATGCAAATGGTGGGAATCCTGGTGTGGAAGGAGGACATCTCTACTTACCAAAGATCTATCCCTGAACTTGGGATAATTACCCAACAACTTGGAAGGAGAAAATCTCTACTTACTAAAGATCTATCTCTGCTGGTAACATCATCTACCAGCAGAGGTTTTCAGTAATTAAAATTTTCTATCTTCATTTGTTTGCGGGTGCAACTTATGCAACAGAATTTTGGCCAATTAATGCAACAGAGTTATGGACTTTAAAAAGTATTGTCATCACGAGAAGAAAAACTTCAGTGGAAAAGATAACGATGCTAGTAAAAACTGAAGGCAACAGGGAAGATCAAACAGAAGATGGACTGACTCAGTAATGGAAGCCATAGCCTTCAATCTGCAAGAGCTGAGCAGAGTTGTTAACAAACAAGAACTTTTGGAAATCATTAATTCATAGGGTTACATAGGCCGAAGCAAAGAGGCAGTCCTGAAACAAGCAAAACCAGGGAGCTGGACGGGGACAAATTGTATTTGTCTTCAGTGTGGAAGGGATTGTCACTCTCGAATTGGCCTTCTCAGCCACACTAGACGCTGTTCCATTACCTCTATTCAGAGCACGTTACCACAGTCTCTTGAGACTGAAGGATGCCTACTACTAAGGGTTACATAATGAAGATACATTGCCCACTGTATGATTCTATGACTGGTTCTTATACAGCTACTTACCTCAAGCTTGGAAGCAATGAAAAGTGTTGTAATTCCTATAAGCTGAAGCATGGTTTTGCTTATATTCTTCTGAGTCAACATGAATCTATCAAAAAAGTCTTGTGCCAAGTAGAAAGTTTCCCTGTGAAGTGTGTATACCTCACAAACCTGTTACAGAAATTAACTTCATTTATTTAATGATTCCTTGAACTTAAGACAATATCCCAAATAACAAGCCTCTACAATTCTTCCTCCCTTTTATAAACTATTTTTGCCTTTAAATTTTTCATTAGTGTAAACACACACAAAAAAAATCAGTATTTTCTACTGCCAGCATTATTCAACATCTCCAGAACATATTACCATCCAGGGAAAGGCTTTCAATTTTCCGATTTTACCATTATTTTAGATCACTTCCAATGTCTTTCAAACTAAAACCCCATACTTTTGTCATGTCCACACTGTTCCTGCAAGTTACAGTTAACCCACATCCATGGAATTTGAAAGACTTCCCATTACTTGGCACACACATATTCTGGCAGCTACAACAGACATTACAGTTTGAAAATAAATTGATAATTTCCAGTCCATAGATTGGTCTGGGAAATGTAATCCTACATCTGGATGCCCATACAATTCTCATGATCCTGCCTTGTTATGCTGGCTAAGGCTTTTGGGAGTTGCAATTAGAGATGCGCACAAACAAAAAAAATGGCAGTTTGTGATGATTTGTGGTTTGTGGCTAACCATAAACCATCCAGAAAATGAACCGGTCCTTGATGTGTGGTGGTTTCAGGCCCATCTCTGCCCACCTGCCCACCACCACCATATGGTCTGTTTGCCACCACCAGAGGAGCTGGGTGGCTGTCTTTGCGCATGTACCCAGGGAAGCCTGGCACTAGGGCTTCCCTGACAGTGAGCTGGCTGGAAAGCACATACACAGAGGCAGCCACCCGGCCTTCGGCAAGGAAGCTGGGCGACTGCCTCTAAGCATGTGATCAGCTGGGTGGCGGGTGCATGTTCAAAAGCAGCAGCCCAGCTTCCCTGCCAGGGCCACTGCCTCTGAACATGGTACTCGGGGGTCAGGGCACCCTGGGTGGCGGCAGCAGAGGTGGCAGCGGCGGCAGCAGCAGACAGGCCAAGGCAATGAAGGGGGCAGCAGGAAGGGGAGGATGGGCAATCCCAGTTTGCCAAAGCAAATGAAAGGTCAAGGGAAAAAAGTTCAGCATTTCATTTTGCTTCAGCAAACAAACCACAAACCAGCTCAGTTCATCATGGTTTCTGGTTCGCAAATCATTTTGTGCCCATCTCTAGCTGCAATCCAACAACATGCAGATGGTCGTATGTTATCTAGCTCTTCCCTAAAATAACATTAACAGCCTAAAGTACAGGCTGCCAATATTCTTGACTTCATGCAAAGCCACTAACAGTGGAGAGGAATCAACTCTTAACTTCCAACAGATATTTGACTTCTTTTTAAAATAGTTTTGCGGGAAAACCAAGTGCCTGCAAATTGTTTAAAAAGAGAGATTAAGTATCCATTGAATGAAAGAGGTGGCTTTGCATGAAAGCAAGAGCAATGCCAGTTTATACTTCAGGCTATTGATGATATTTTAAGCCAAAAATACCCTGTCTCCCCAAAAATAAGACCTAACCTGAAAATAAGCCCTGGTATGATTTTTCAGGATGCTCATAATATAAGCTCTACCCCCAAAATAAGCCCCAGTTAAGTGAAACCCCGCCTGCCACCATTGTGCAGCAACCAGAAGATGACATGACTGTGTTTGAATAAATGTAGATGATTGTACATGAAAAAAAAACTATCCCCTGGAAATAAGTCCTAATACGTTTTTGGAGCAAAAATTAATATAAGACCCTGTCGTATTTTCAGGGAAACACGGTAGATAACATGTCATTGTCCAAATGTTGTTGGATTGCAAATGTTAATTATTCTTTTTTACAGATGTGTAGCTTTGCCAGCTGGCTCAATAGCAGAGTAATTTGGGTACCAGAATCAGGCATTTGATTCCATACTGTGCCTCCTGGGAGAACAGCCTGTTTAGCATCGGGCAAGCTGTATGGCCCCAAAAGAAAAGACTAGTAAACCACTTCTAAATACTTTGCACCCAGAAAATCCTGGAAAGAGTGATTGTAAGTCAGATTCCACGTGAAGGCACGTTATTATTGTTGCTGGTGATGGCTTTGGTAAAGCTACATCATCACCTTACAGCAGGTTTCACAAGATCCACAGTGTATATATTCTTATTCATTCAAAACTAAGACAGTTTACAACAATTAGAACCAGTAAATTGACCAACTAAGGTTAACATAACCTATATGGATATTTTACATGAAATATAATAGGATCTAGAATATTAAAGGGCATCCTCTGAGCATTAAGCGTAGACAGATATTTGGAAATATACGGTGATAGTATAGCTATCAACATCCTATGAAGTCAGAAACTGGTGTTATTTCACAAGAGATATATATTTAAGGTTAATTTTTTTAAAATAATTCCATTGTCAAGAACCGAAGGCATTCTGCAACTTCAGTGCTACTTTGTATAACTTACTAGGAATTCATACTTTCATACTTACTTCTAGAAGCCAGTCCAATAGGATTGCTCTCATGTGTGGCTGAAGGTTTGTGTGTAGAGTTGTGAAATGCTTACAATGGGAATATTTATTTTCTTTTTTGAGGAAGCTTAACCAAACATCTTTAGAGCTTGCCCAACTAAAACCAAGACAGATATTTATGTTTTAGTTTATGGGGGGAAACACACAAGTATCTCAACACGATAGAGCAGACAGCCTCACCAAAAAGTGATTCCAATTAATTCGGGCTAGATTGAGGTTTGGTGGATCTAATTTGCTATTTCTAGAGTTCAGTGCCTTAATTTTTCAAAGAGAGAATCTTTAGGACCTAAACAGACTCTGCCAAGTCAGTTTATTATTTAATGTATTCCCTAGCTGCCTGCTCTTACTATCAAAGTAAGAATAAAAGACAAAAATATTCTCGCTTCATACTAAACTGTACGTGGCACAAAAACATGTGATAGGACCTTTTCTTCTATTTGGAATTGAAAAGCAGAGAATACTTTTTTAATTGGGGGGAATAAACTCTTTGATCCTTACACTGTTTCCAAGATACAATTCTGCAACTCATGTAAAACAGACATTATAAAAATGCCTATACCCCTTTCCCCATGGAGACAACCCCATCATCTCCCAGAGCTGCTGCCTCTCTCTAAAGAAACCTTAGGTTACTTTTAAAGTTCAGCATCAAATCACAGATTGGATTTCACATGTAAACCCTCTGCTCATTCATTAAGCTTCTATTAAAAAGTAAACAGGAAGTTTGCTTGCACTTAAGGAATCAACACAATTGATGATTGGACACAATTAGACACAATTTTGTGTCCAACAACATCTGCAGGGTCATGGATCCACTCTGCTACTATATGCAAAATGTCTTGTTCTGGATTCCCTTCCCACTCCCCAAAAATTATAAAAGCAACCACACAACTACCACACTTGATGAATCACAGGCATTTCTCAGACGATCGTGAGTTGAAATATCTCTATATGTAACTTGCACCAGATTGTTTTCCCTCTGCTAATTTGATCAAATTATAAGATCAAACTGTCTGTCAACATCACACAATTTTGTTTTCCCTGTTATCCTTGAAAATATGCATAACACTCAAGCCAAGGACTAAAAGCAAGAACTTTAAAACATTAACTGTCTTATTCATTGTGGTGTTGTTCTACTTCTTCCAAATGCCACTAGAACTGGCTCAAACGCTAGCCAGTATTATACAGTGCACTAATACTGGAAATAATGTTTTCAAGCCCCCTTTTTCCTAATATAATAACGAATATCCTGTGGCACAGCTCTGTCTGTGCAACAGGAATGCCATAATTGTCAGCAGCAGATTCTCACTGATTAAAAACATCATTTTCCAATTTTGGGATTGCACAGCTGGCACATAATGAGATGATGTCGTGTGAACCCCAGAAATGGAAAAGGACGTCTTAAATAAGTGGCAATCTGATGATGATGTTTACTTCTGTTGCGCAGGCAGACTGTGCCCAGAAGGGTTTTAGCCACTGATATACAGTAAGGCAACAACTGCTTTTCATTATGGCTAGCTTACCTAAGTTCTGGTAAAGGTGATGGATTTATGAAGAGATTTCTGAACCTGTATTTTTTGAATTTGGAGAAGTCAGTAGTTGTTGCTTCTTTGTGAGGAGTTTCTATTATTATGCAAGGAGAAATGCCACCAGATATTGCAGACGGCCAACAGTTCTACAAGTAAAATATTAAAAGATAGTTTTAAACAAGGACACAAATACCGTGGAACCTCAACTTACGAACTTAATCCGTATTGAAATGGTGTTCGTACGTCGAAACGTTCGTAAGTAGAAGCAAAATTTCCCATAGGTATGCACTGAAAACCATTTAATCCGTTCTGGCTGTTTTTTGTTCTTATCTAGAGGCACCGTTCGCAAGTAGAAGCATTAGTTCCCATAGGAACTAATGCAAAGCCAGTTAATCCATCCTCTGCCACTAGGGGAAGAATTTTTCTTCTTTTGACCTAGGATGAACTTAGGTCAAAAAAAGGGCAGGAAAGGAGGGAGGGGGAGGGAACACCTTCTAAACAGAACACCTTTTCACCCAAGCATCTTTTAAACAAAACCAAGCACCTTTTAGCTTAGAAAAGGGCAGGATAACACCTTTTAAAAAGAACACATTTTTTCCATTCGTAAGTCAAAGCTCCGCAAATCGAAGCAAAATTTTGCAAACGGAGTGGTTCGTAAGTCAAAATGTTCGTAGCTAGGGACGTTTGTAAGTCAAGGTTCTACTGTATAAACACAGCTGTTTACAAATCAACAGTAATATCTCTGTTTCACCCTTGGGAAATGACTTTTCCCTAACAGAGCTGTTTACAAATCAACAACAATATCTGTGTTTCACCCTTGGGAAATGACTTTTCCCTGTTCTTAATTATATGTTAAATAGACCATCGACTAATAAATGTTTTAAGCCTTGGAAATCAGATACCAAAGCATTTTGCCCAAATCTTTGGTATCATCAATATTTAACCTATTATACATTCTGAGAAGTCGAAAGGAATTTTGCCTTGGTGAAACACAGCTCAGTGTAAACAAAAGGAAGTAATTAGAGATGGGGGATTTGTATTTGAATGTACTCGTGGAGCTGGAGTTAACGAGAGGCCTGCCGCTGGGGCCAGACCGTCCACTCACATGTCCGCCGCCGCCACTGGCCCCGCTCATCCTTCCAATCGCTCCCGAGTGCCATTCTCTTCCCAGTAGGCTAGCCACTCCTGGCAGAGGGAGGGAGAACGAGTCTCCCTGCAAGGCTGCCGAATGGCGCTCCAGAGCGATTGGAAAGGAGAGGGGCCACTGCTGCCGCCGCATGTGTGAGTGGACGGTCCAGCCCCAGGGGCCGGTCCCTCGTTAACTCCAGCTGCATGGGGATATGAATACGAATTCCCCCATCTCTAGAAGTAATATTAATGTATGTGTACGGCAACTAATACCTAATACTTTTTATACAACAGAAACAATACCCGCCAGACATTTAACAGTATTGATTCACCACCAGTTTTTCTAATAATTTTTAAAAAAACTTCTTAAAAATTGCAGCTTTCCCCAACATCAAACTTCCTGTTCATGCTGTACATCCCAAACTACTTCGCACCTGAGAGGTCACAGTTTCAGAACAATATTTGTACAAGTCAGCACTACCTTAATTTCATACTGATGTCTCATGTTGTTCTCTTCCTTTCTCTTGGGATCCTTTGGAAAACACAGATGCACACCAATTAATAGCAAAGCAGAAACCAGCCAACATTTCTGTAGATCCATTAAGAATTCTGTCTTATTTTAGGGAATATCAAGGCCTTCACAGTTCACATCATGATTCTGAAAATCATTTATTAACTCCTGAAATATCTATGCAACCAAGCACCAAAGCCATTAAAATAGGTAATATAAAGATGCTTCCTAACCAAACAAAAAGAGAATACTTAAAGGCTAAGACCAACAAGGAGCAAAACAGCCTTAATGGCATACAACATCACAAAACACTTGATGTACTGTATCCACAATTCTATACATAAGCAGGACCAGTGAAAATTTGGAAGATTTCCTAGCAAGGTGTCACCTAGCCCCCTCCCCTTGCTAACTTTTCTAGTGGCACTGGATTATAAGAGTTGTAACAGTTACTGTGAGCTATCTGACCTTCGAAGAATTGTGGTGCTGGATGAGACTCTTGAAAGTCCCCTGGACTGCAAAGAAAACGAACGTATCCGTTTTGAAGGAAATCAACCCTGAGTGCTCGCTGGAAGGAGAGATCCTGAATCTGAGGCTCCAATACTTTGGCCATCTCATAAGAGAAGACTCCCTGCAAAAGACCCTGATGTTGGGAATGTGTGAAGGCAAGAGGAGAAGGGGACGACAGAGGACGAGATGATTGGACAGCATCATTGAAACTACCAACATGAATCTGCCCCAACTCCCGAAGGCAGTGGAAGACAGGAGGGCCTGATGTGCTCTGGTCCATGGGGTCACAAAGAGTCAGACACTACTTAACAACAACCACCTGCCATTTTTAGTTTCCCAGAATACACTGCTCCAAAACACAGCAGAACATCTAAAGCTGTGTGTATTTCATCACAAACAAAAACTGCTTCATTGATAAGTTTGGGGAGACCCAGCAGTTGAAGGCCTCTGGGGTTTCAGCATGTATCTGAGGATGCCAGTCTTGTATATAAATATTATCCTATGCACGTAGGAATGGGGCAAGAAGTAATGACTTATCTATGAGTAGTCAGTAAATTCTTGGCTAGAATTTCAAATAATTTCATTTTATATTTTTAACTATTACTCTACAAAAATATCTAAAGCTTCTTCAATTCCTACTCACCTGCATTGCTTTTCGTTTTCTGTTCTGAAGAGATGCTGAAACCTGCAGTTCTTGTGGCGATGTATCCTGGCAGGGCTGATGCAATTTAGCTTGCAAACGACTGCTGCAGAAAGTTCAAATACATTCTTCCATGAAGACAGTAGTGGAAAGTGTTGCTATACATATTAACAATGACAAAGAATCCTGAGGCACCTTAAAGACTAAGGCCAAGACCATATCCACTGGCAGCAGAATGAGCAAGCACACTAACACAGTACCCTCTGCACAAGTGGTGGCCCTATGACAAAAATGCAACTTCCATTTATGTAATGAAGTCTTGGATAGCCGAGTGCGTAGTAAACTTCTAACAATCCTGTTCCTTGTGTGAGTGATCTGAGACCAGATGATGATGGCCTAACAAATGTATCAGAGCATGAGCTTTCATAGACTATAAGCCATTTCAATGTCATCCACCTCCATTTCTATGGGTACACATACACAAGAGTATATATGATTGGAGGTGGAATTGTAGATAAGCCCAAAAAGAAATTAATCAAAGGCAGTACTAACAGTGGAAATTACATACTGTGGTTTATTATTTTAAAAAATCACCAGATTACCTGCGCCTTGACATGGTATTAAAATCCGAGACACTTGCCTGCAAATGAAATAAGAGTTTCCATTAACTTAGTGATATTCTCTGAGCACTGTCTTGTTATATGAAGTGTCACACAGAATGATCCTAGTAGAGTTTTCAAGGTAAATCAGATTTTAAGGATTGTTTTTATCCATGCCATACCCTCCCGCCTGTCCCCAGTGATCTTCCATGGCCAGGTAGGGACTTGAAACCAGATCTACTGACCCCTAGTCCAACATTCTACCCACCACCCCACTCCAGCTCTCAAACACTATTTAGTACAAACCAATTTGATCTCCCTGTGCACGCACACTCATTGCATATTTCCTCAGCTACGGTTGCAGAAAAATATGAGACCACAAACAAAAGACTGATACATAAACCTAGGGGACGTCTAACTACAGTACATGTTCCCCAAACTGGGGCAAAGAACTCTAAAGTACAGCCAGGAGCATGCAAGTGCGCCACAGACAGGCACCTGCCACAATCCTGTCCTTGGAACAGGAAGACCTCTGGGCAAACTATTCACACTGATCATTCTCCAGTCCTTGACATTGTTGCACACCTGAATTAAAGAGGTCACACAGACGGAACAATGCACCACAAATTAGGAACACCAATCCACACCTGGAGTATGGTTGCCACACCTCAAAAAAGACATACTGGAACAGGAAAAGGTGCAGAAGAGAATGACTAAAATGATGACTGGGCTGGGCCATTTCCCTTATGAGGAAAGGCTAAAGCATTTGGGACTCTTTAGTCTACAGAAAAGGCGCCTGGGGGAGGACATGATTGAGACGTATAAAATTATGCAGGGGATGCATGAAGTGGATAGAGGGAATCTCTTTTCCCTCACACACAGTACCAGAACCAGGGGACATCCACTCCAATTGAGTGTTGGGAGAGTGAGAAAAAAACAAAAGAAAATATTTCTTTACCCAGTGTGTTGTTAGTCTGTGGAACTCCTTGCCACAGGATGTGGTGATGGCATCTGGCCTAGATGCCTTTAAAAGGGGATTGCAGAGATTCCTGGAAGAAAAGTCCATCACAAGTTAAAAGCCATGATGGATATATAATCCCCAGGCTTAAAAGGAAGGTACCTCAAAATTCCAGATGCAGAGGTGGGGTATCAGGAGACAGGTATCTAGTTGTCTGGTGTGCCACGGTGGGGCCACTGGGAGATACAGGAAGGGGTGGTGGGGCCACCGGGAGATATAGGAAGCTGGACTAGATGGGCCCTTGGCCTGATCCAGCAGGGCTCTTCTTATGGTCTTATGAACTCTGTTCATCTCAGTTCACAGCAGTATTTTTGTTAGTAGACATAAGGTTAAGGTCCTCCTTATTACGCAAGGGCAATCTAGTCAATTTCAGGTTAACTAACTTCCATCTGTAACCTTTCATAATTTGGCAGTAGCCATTTTGTCCCATATTTTAAGGCCATGCTCCAGGCCCCCAACTTTTGTTCCCCCCCCAAAAAAAAACTACCGCACCACCACAGATCTGGTAAAATGCAAGTCCAATAATAAACCACACTTCTTGTGTATTTAAGCACCATTCAAAAACAGAACTTTCATCCCTTCCTCCTCTCTTGACAATTGGAACAAACCTCTCTCTGCACAAGTAGCTAGTTTGTAGCTGAAAATATATTATATGTACTGTACAGTACATAGAAATCATGCATACAGAGGGTCCCCTCGCTTAATTTTTCTCAGAACCTTATGATGGCTCATTTACACCACAGAGGTGCATTGTGGTTCCTTTCTCTCATTCAAACAAACAATCCTAATCAGTTTCTCTCCTCCCCCCCCCCACTCCCAAATTTTCTGCGGATCGCCGTTTGTTCAACATCACCCCCCTTCCGGGCCAAGCGTGGGGGAAAGGGCTTCAGAGACCGACCAACCCCCCCAAAAAAGGCTCCGATCTCCCCCAGAGGAGAGCCCTGCGTGAGGCTGCCTGCAGTCCCGCGCCAATTTACAGAGAGCGGGCAAGTCAAGGAGGAGGAGGAGGCGGCGACAGCAGCAGGCGAGGCTCTCCGGGTGTCCGCTCCGATTGCCGCCGCCCTCCCTCCCTCCCTCCGCCCGCGCGCGAAGGACGGTCCCCTTGGGGGGTGCAACATAAGAACGGGGCGATGCAGCAAAAGGAGGAGAAAGGGGAAAAAAGTCAGGCAAAAAAAAAAAGATGGAAAGGGGGGGGATTAGGCGGGAGTTAAAGCACCCCTTTAAAACATCTCCCTCGCCTTTTCTTGCACGTCCTCATAAGGGGTGGTGGTGGAAACCTATATTTATATAAAATCTGAAATATTTAGAGGGACTGGGGATGCAAAAGGGGGGGATTTAAGAAGCCCAATCCCTCTCTCGAGCTTCTTGCATTAAACGCGAGGTTCCCTCCAAACAGATCAAACCTATACATAAATACAAACACACACACGCACCATTCCCAATCTTCCCCCCCCCAAAAAAAACCCTCCTGATCGGCAATATCTACCTCCCCCGTCAGCAGGCCAGGCAAGGCAAGGGCCGAAGTGGAGGGATACTGAAGGACCCAGACCTCCCCAACCTGGCTTCCTCTCTCCCGCCTTCCAGCCCTTCCTTCTCAAGGCGTCTTTTCCCCCCCCCCACCTCCGCGCCCCCGCTTTCCCTCCAAGGTCCCACAGCCGAGAAAGAGGGGTGGATGTTGAAGGGGACACCCCTGGGGAGGCTGCCACCCCCTTCCCTCTTTTTTGCATGGAAGGAAGCAGAGCCTCCCTCCAAAAATCTGGTGTGCACACCCAGCAAGGCAGACCGCCCGAGTCAGGTTTCAAGAGCCTTCCCCCCACCCACAAGAGATCGATTAAAAAAAAAGAAGCCCCCCAACACCCCCCAAGAAGGACTGCTTCTCACTGCGCCCAAGGAGATATTCCCTCCTCCAAGCGCTGGAAGGAACCTTGGGGGGCTGGGGTGGGGGGCTCGGAACCACAGCCTCCCCCGATTCCTTGGGGGGGAGACACCCCGCTTCCTCGCCTCGAGACCCCTCACATTACCGTCTCGGCAGGTCCCCAAGGCCGGATGGGTCGGGGATCCCCGCTATTTCCTCCTCCCCGCCTCATTCTCCCTCCAAAATGCCAAGCCGGCAAACTGGAAGGCGGGCATCCCGCCTTCTCTCTCGCGCTCGCTTCCTTCTCCAGAGGGGAGACGGCGCTGGAACTCCCGCCACCCGCAGCCTTAGGAGGGCCACGCAAAAAAATATATATCCCCCACCCTACTCGGTCCCATGAAGGGCACCCCCCTTTTTAGGTCCTCTTGGAAAGGGGGGGCTCACCCACGCTCGTCACCCCAGGGTATGTATATGCAAGCCCCAGACCAAGTACCAGAATGCACTGGCTTCATGGGATGTGGCTAAACAGAGCTAGGACATGGTATAGGCCAGGGGCTAGAATGTTGAACTAGTCCTTTAGATGCCTGGCCTACCTCATTGCATTGTTGTGCGAATGGGGGAGGGGAGTCTCATAGAGTGCCTGGAGTTTATTGTACCAAATACATAACATAAAAGGTAACTCCCGCCCGCCCGCTTCGGAACCCCAATATTAAACGGGGGTCGCCCTCCCCAGGTATAACACACACACACACACACGGCGTCCCCGCAACGCGATCACAACAGCCCTGGCTCTTGGGGCTCCTGTCACTTTTCCAAAGACTGGGTAAAGGACGGCTAGCCTGCTTTGAAAACTGACTGCAATGGCGGGGCTTTCGTATTAAAAAGAAAAAAAACAACAACAACAAGCAATGAGGCACCCCAGGACATGCTCGGGGCAAGGTCGGCAACCGTCCAAAGGCGCGCTTCAGGGTCTTTGCCCGCCCGCCCCCCGTCCCCCACTCTCCGTCCGGCCCAGAGCCAGCGCGCCTTGCGGAAGAAGCGATGCTCCGCCGCTCGCGGGAAGGGCGCCCGGCTTCCCTTTCCGTCCCGCCAAATGCTCTCCGCAAACGCCCGAAAGCCTCCGGGGTGGCCGCGCGGTCTGTTGCAAAAACGAAGTCCCCGCCACGAGGAAGGGGGGGGGAAACACAACTGTGCCACCTGGAAGTCGCACCCATTTCCCCCTCGCTTGAACTGTCGTGGCCTTTGCAGTGCGTTCCTATTTGCATTTCTAGAAGGGCCGCCTGCCCCTTGGCGTAAGCAGCGAGATCAAAGGGAACAAAGCTACGGGCTCCGTCTTTTTTTCTCTCTCTTTAGCTACGAGATACAGTAACGTTTCGAGAGCTCCTCTGTGGCTCAGGGCTCCCAGCTGATAAGAGATCGTGGGAAGAAATTGCCCCACGCGCAAGAAATCAGACTTCTCTCAACCGTGTAGATTGGTTAGCTTTCTGCACAGCCCCAGAGCCCTTTCCGCAGGTGTCGCTCTGGGTTCCCCCCCCCTCGTCTTCGTTACGGCGATCCGGCCCCTCAAGAGCCTCTGGGGGACGTCGGCGAGACCGCAGGAGTCGACCCGCCGTCTGCTTCCTTTAGTATCTGGAAGAGGCATTAAGACAGGTTGGCGAGCCGAGCTCCGCCCGTGGGCGGAGTCACGGAGCGCGCCTCAGCCAATGAGAACCGAGAACGGCTCGGCAACGTGGAGCTGTCCGCAAAATGTAAACAGAACCCGTTTGACAGCGAAGGAAGATCCGCAGGTTTTACTAAAGGGCTTTAAAACGCTCGTGACTCGCCGCAGAAGGAACGGAAGGAAACTAATCTTTTGAAATAGTATTAATGCTAATGGGAGGCAATTCTTCTTCGGCCGTTTAACGCTGCAGTCCTCTATGCTTTTATTTGGGAGTCACCATTTGAACTCGTTTGGTGGGACCATAGAATTATAAACTTATTGGAGTTCTACCAAAGGGATTCTTCTTAGACTGGAAGAGGGAAATCTCCAGATTTCCTTGTTTCCCTTGCAGCCTCTGTATCTCCCAAAAAGTTGTTATGCTGCGCGGGTGGGTCTAGGGAAAAGCCTTCAGGGAAGCCAATGGCATGGGGACAAAAAGGATCGGCCGAGGTTGCTCCTTGCCGTCTTCTTTCACCAGAGAGACTCTCTGTGGCATCTTGGTGCTTTTGTTGACTTGAATGAGCCACCCGGTTCAGGAAGTGAGCTTTCTGGATCCTGCCCAAAGGTAATTTACTTTTAAGGAGATATGTGTAAGATTATACTCTCAAGTCAGTATCCTGTTCAATATTGTGCCCAGAACTCCGGCTGCAGTCTCAGACAGTGCTGTGCCTGGGTGCAAGCAACCAACACCTTGTGGAAGAGTCTACAGTCAAACCTCTGCTCCGGTATAAGTATTTAACAGGATGTTGGCCTCAGAGTGTATCTGCACTACACAGTTAAAGCAGTTTGACATCTCTTTAGCGAGTACAGTTTCAATGAAAGGAATTGTGGGATTTATAATTTGCTGAGGTAGTAAGAGTGCTGTTGGTTACAACTCAACTGTACAGCAGTGGTTCAAAGATTCTGTAGACGGAAATGCATCATCACACTGCTATAACTATGTAGTATCAATGCTTTCCAATATAGCGTTGAGTTCATTCAGATATTAATGCAACTGCTGACTTTCTTCAATGACTGAATTTACTTCACTTGTTAAAAAGTAGCCATAGTCCACCTTGACAGGTTTACAACGATCAGATAAGAGAAAGGGGGATTAGAGCAAAAATATGTCTCGTGGTCAGTCAACCAATCAATTTACTGTGGTCACATGACCTGTTCAGATATACACCAACTGACTTATAAAGAACACAGAAAGTTTTTTAGAAACAATGACAAGTTTAGAAACAATGACAACATTTTCCATTGGGGTGTTTTTGTTCTATTATTTTATGATGTTGCTTTGGGATTTGTGCAATAGTAACAAATAGTGTGGTAGTACAAAGGGAACATCAAAGCATTGTTGTATAAAATGTAGTTCTAGATCTGTGCTTCAGCATTCAGCCTCAGAGGTGAAGAATGCAATTCTGTGCTTACTTTCCAGGGAGTAAGCTGCACTTAGTTAACAACAAGCTGTATGCTAAACATTGCTTGTCATATGTCACACTGAGGGGAGACAAGAAGAGGGGAAGCAAAACATCATTTTTATAATAACATGGACATGGCATTAGTATAAAATAAATTTCTTACAAAGAAATAAGCAACCATCAATAGTTGGGGATGATCAAGAAAAACAGCACCCATTCCCCAAAAGAACACTATGAACCAGAATTCCAATACTAGTCTTGCTACTTCCCAAGAAGCTGTAGCAGCTGAATGTTAATACAAATGTATTATCACTAGGACAGAAGTTACTCTGCAGTCTTTCCTCCTCACTGTCCCAAGGAGGCTAATAGCTGCCAAACTAAAGTGCTGGGAAATGGCACATTGGGATCAGCATCCAAAGAAATGTGCATAGGATTGGAGCGTAACAGAACGTACGGGTTAAACAGGTTGATAAGATACTTATTGTTAGATTCAAGCATTCCTCAAAGCAACATTCTTCGGAGTCGTTCTACTGGAATTTATGCAGCTAGGAAGTTGCCTTATACTCGAGCCAGAGCTAAGTTTGGAAGCACCACATTTTGGGTCCTTCTCCATAGTTATAAATCTGAAATCTGATTATTCTAAAACAATTAATCATGTTTTAAAAAGGCCTAAAAATAGGCCAAAATGAAACTATCATAGAGGGAATAATTTGCTGACTTGTTTTAACTTTGCTTATCCTCTCTACTGCCTCTTTGCATGGTATGAATAGATGTTTTGGAGCAAATGTCAACATTTGGCAAGTCTTTTAAAGAGGGAAAGTGTTTGTTCACTGACTAGATAGCTCAGTGGTTTAGGTATCTGCCTCTGGAGCCACAGGCTGGGAGTTCAATTCCACTCCTGGGAAAAAGATCCAGCCTATGTAGCCACAGGCAAGCTGTTCAGTTCCCGGGTGCCCTCAGAAGAAGGGAATGCTAAACCATTGCTGACTATCCTATACCTAGAAAAACCTGGAAAGGATTGCTATAAATTGGAATTTACTTGACAGCACACTATCATTATCGTTAGCGTTATTAAATGTTTGTTCTGCTGACCTAATTTCTCTTCAGATGCTCTTATTCTCCTCAGAATCAATGAAATGCCAACCATCAAGACTATCATCTTCATGACTCTACAATAAGAACTCGCATGGAACTCTACAGGAGTACAGTATATCTATCACATATTTTTAAATTGAGTAATTTTCCCTCTCCCTTTCTCTCTCCCCGCAGGTCGTTGTTATAATTTTATCCTAAAATTGTTCTATATCAGTTTGAATTTTCTAAATAAATTTCTTTAATTTTTTCAAAAATCTATTTTTCCTTTGTGTGTTTGGGTCTCCAAGGGGGTAGCAGTGTCAGACCATTGCAGCAAATGCCAAATAAACCTAATGCCACAAAAGCTCATATGAAATAAAACATTTTAAGTGCCACAAGATTCTTTTATTATTTAGCGATCAGTGGAGTGAGTGGTGTTTCTTATTGTACATGAACACAGGCTTTCCATAGGTGAGGATGTGTCAAGGGACCCACATAAAGGGACCCACACTAGCACAGAGTTGGTTATACAACAGTCCTTTGTTTGTTTGTTTGTTTCAGGTACCAAGCAAGGTGTGGAGTTTATCTGTCAAACCCCTCCTTCTCTTCCTATAATAATATTTATTTTATTTCTATTCCACCTTTCTCCCAATTGTGAGAGTCACAGTGGCTCACAAATTATTGAAAGACAAGCTGGTTAAAAACACAATAAATGTAAGATGGGGCCTCCATGGATCAACTGTGATGTTCCATCACATCCCATAGATGCTCAATTGAATTGAGATCTGGGAAATTTGGAGACCGTGACAACGCTTTGTACTCTTTGTCATGTTCCTTAAACCAATCCTGAACAATTTTTGCAGCGTGGCAGGATGCATTATCCTGCTGAAAGAGGCCACTACCAGCAGGGAACACTGTTGCCATGAAAGAGTGTACATGCTCCACAACAATCTCTAGGAAGGTGGTACATGTCAAAGTAACATCCACATGAATGCCAGGGCCCAAGGCTTCCCAGCAGAACATTGCCCAGAGCATGACACAGCATCCACTGGCTGTCTTCTTGCTATAGTGCATCTTGCTGTCATCCTTTCTCCAGCTAAATGATGCACACCCACCTGGCCATCCACCTGATCTAAAAGAAAATGTGATTCATCAGATCAGGCAACCTTCTTCCATTGCTCCATAGTCCAGTTTCTGATTCTCATGTCCCTATTGTAGCCGATTTCAGCAGTGGACACGGGTCATCATGGGCACTCTTGACCAGTCTACAGCTACACAGCCTCATACATAGCAAACTGCAATGCACTGTGTATTCTAGCACCTTTCTATCATGGCAGCATTACATTTTTCAGCAATTCAGGTTGCAGTAGCTCTTTTGTGCATCCAGACCAGATGGGCTAGTCTTCACTCCCTATGTGTATCAATTACCTTTAGACACCCACAAATGTAACATTGGTTCACTGGTCCTTTCTTGCACCACTTCTGGTAGATTCTAGCCACTGCATACTGGGAACACCCAAGACTTGCCTTTTTGGAGATGCTCTGACCCAGTTGTCTAGCCATCACTATTTGGCCCCTGTCAAGGTCACTCAGAACTTTTCACTTGCCCATATTTCCTGCTTCCAACACCTGAAATTCAAGGACTGTTCACGTGCTGCCTCATATATCCCATCCTCTGACAGGTGCCATTGTAATGATATAATCAATGCTATTCTATTCACCTCTGAGTGATTTTAATGTTGTGGCTGATCTGTGTAGGTCATAACCAGCACTTTCAACTGGGCTGGGAAATTAGCTAATAGGCAGTGAGCTGTTGTAACAGGGGGATTGTATGTTCTCTGTAGCTAACCCCAGACAGTAGCTTTGCTGCAGCATTTTGAACGAGCTGAAGTTTCCAAGGTGTCTGCAAAGACAGCCCTATGTAGAGCATGTTGCAGTCATCCAAGTGGGATGTAACTAAGGGGTGTGTCCCTAAACATTCCTGGTGTTTCAAGACCTTTGTGAAAATGGTTCATTTCATCCTCCTGGCACAGCGTCCAAAGTTTGTTTCACTCAGGGTCTGACTATGTATTTTCGACTCTCTTCTTGGGTCTTTAGAGGCTGGGCCCAGGGTTCTGGGATGACATCCACTTGCTGATGAAGTTGCTCCAGATGCCTCTTCTGTCTCCAACAGGACTTCGGTGTTCGGGAAGGAAGTGTCTGGTTCCCCGTGTGTTTGGAGGCTGGCAGTAGCAAGGCTGGTTTGCATGGCATAGCCAGAGACTAACCAATCATCCCATATTAGTTTTGCAGTATAAAGAGGGTTAAGGTTGGAAAATACAGGGCATCTTCCTGGTCTTCTTCACACTTGCTCCCTGAGCCCCTGATCCTTCACATGTCACCACCACCACCACTGCTTTAAACCCTCGCCTTCCTGTTCCTTACCCCCACCCTGCTGCTCCCCATTTCCAGTGTGTAATCTCTTCCTCCCCTCAGGTAACTCTTATCCCTGGTGTTTGGTGGTCCTCTTTCAAGGACACCTGTTGTGAGTAGGCCAGAAAATGCCATCAAAAGGTCTTTCTCAGTTGGGAACCCAGGCTGTTCTGTCCAGCTGGCATCACCAGGTGCCAGTACAGTGGGGTCTTGACTTAAGAACGGCTCGAGTTAAGAACATTTTGACTTAAGAACCACTCTCATAGGAAAATATTGACTTGACTTACATACTTAGATTTGAGTTAAGAACTGAAAAAAACCACGTGGGAGGCAGGGAAAGTGCAAAATTTGAACTTTCCGTTAACTGTTGGCCAGTGAAAAGGGTGCCTGTCTGCTTCCTCACTCCTCCCAGCGTTTAGAGAGTGGATTGGGAGACAGTCTTCAGACTGCCTGGTACTGTACTGCCTGGACTGTATTTTCCCTGCCTTCCCTGAACCTTTCTTGACCTAAGAAAAAAAGAAACAAAATATCCCCCTCTAGTGGTCGAAGGCAGAATAGCAGCTTCCCATTAGTTTCTATGGACGGAAAAGAGCAGATACGGATCAAATGGTTTTCAATGCATTCCTATGGGAAATAAGGCACGTGGTGGTCCCACTGTGGAAGGCTTGAGGGGCAACCCAACTGCCAACGCAGCCTTGGCCTCATCACACCTATGTTCTAGACAGATTGCACTCCTGATCAAGAATCAGGTCCATAATTTGAAAGTGTTCTTAGATCCATTGTTGTTCCCAGAAGCACCGGTAGCCTTGGGGTATTGCTGCCAAATAATATTATTATTGTTACTATTGTGTGCTGGCAAGTCAGTTCTGATTTATGGCAACCCTCATAGGGTTTTTAATGTACTGTATATGAGATATTTAAAAGGGACGTGGTGGCACTGTGGGTTAAACTGCAGAAGCCTCTGTGCTGCAAGGTCAGAAGACCAGCAGTTGTAAGATCGAATCCACACGACAGAGTGAGCTCCTGTCGCTTATCCCAGCTTTTGCCAGCCTAGCAGTTCGAAAGCATGTAAATGCGAGTAGATAAATAGGTACCACCACAGTGGGAAAGTAACAGCGTTCCGTGTCTAGTCGTGCTGGCCACATGACCATGGAAACTATCTACGGACAAACGCTGGCTCTACGGCTTGGAGACAGGGATGAGCACCGCCCCCTAGAGTCTGACATGACTGGACTGAAAATGTCAAGGGGAAGCTTTACCTTTTGTGAGATATTTACAAAATGGTTTGATCACTTCCACAACTGAGTGGGGACTTGAACCCAGGTTTGCTGAGCCCTAGTCCCACGTTGTATCCAGTACATTACATTGGCTCTCCAGCTATACCATACAGGTTGGCCATTATTAGAGCAGAAATTATGTGTTTTCCAGGGCCATATTTTAGGCAATGTCATATCTGAGAAATCGCGACTGCAGACAAAGAACTGTATTGACACCCAAACAATCAGAAACGACAGCAAGCTAATTTGCAAAGTGTGAGATGAGAAAAACCTTTACCACAATAGTTAAGAGCCAGCGCTTAGAACATTCCTTACTCTAATGATGCATTATCAGCAAGATATAATTCTGCTCTCCGAGTTCCTTTTATCAATTTTGGCTGATTCGTCTATTTTGGTAGCCTCCTCCACAATGCAATAAATGTAGGAATGCTTTTGAAAATGTTCCCGAAACTTCAGATAGCCCAAATGAGGGTGGCTAAACTGTCACTGGGCCTGTTGTGATTGTGTGATAACACCTATTCTGCTCTTTGTACTGGCTGCCAGTCTGTTTCTTGACACAGTTCAAGGTCCTGGTTTAACTTCTAAAACATCCGCAGAGGTCCAGGAATCTCAACGAAAAGTTTCTCCCAAATGTGGCAACACAGATGGCTACGAGAGGGCCAAATCCATAGTGGTGGTGGTAGTAGTGGCTAGACCAGGTAGGGAGGCAGTGGGAAGGGGGAGTGGGTGGAGGCAGAGGCAGGGCCCCCTCTACGCACAAACAGGAAAAAAATGAAGCCAGGAGCCATCACAAAGCCACCAGTTTTCCAGTTTGTACCCCTCTCTCTGTAGAATTACTATAATGACCAGGTTCTGGAAAGCCTTGTAACAATAGGCCTTTTTATTGAAACTGCTTCTCCAGTTTCAAAAATGCAAATAAAACATAGATACCATTAGTAAACGTCAATTATCTATAAACTAGTATAACTTCACCCATTTTTCTTTCTGGAGTGGCGTTTTTCTGCTTTCTTTTCTCAAAGGACCCTTAAGTGTGCCTCTTGAAAATGCTATACTAGGGAGTAGTGTAAAAAAGTGTAACCCACACCACCTCCTAACGGTATGTTGCAGCATGTCACTACCTAAACCCAGAGACTGCCGTGGACAACATTGTTGCTCAGCCCCATACAGCAGACAGGCAAGGTCTCAGCGAAATGGCACCTTGGTAGCATCAGCACAAAGCCGTAATGATTGAAAGCTTGTAGGTCTCATGTTTTGTTGGGAAGAAGCAAGACAGATGTCAGGAAGAGGTGCAGACCAGATATGCATACAAGGCCTCCTGCAAGTCTTCCATCATTGTTATGGTTATCACTAACATTACAGGTAGCAGAAACTGCTTTGGTTTCCCAAAGGGTTTGGGTTGATGAATCAAAAAGAGCCCAAATAGGAGAAATGGAAATTGAAGTATGAAAAATGGATGGGAAAAGCAAAACAGTTTATTTTCATTGCATACCCAGGAGAATCCAAGTAAAGTTATTAGCGTGTAATCGGCACCTGGATGCAAAACCTACTACCTATAATGGAACTATGATGTAAAGAAGGCTATTTGTCTGAAATATGAGCTATGCAATAGGTGGGAAACCTCTGTTCCCTTAGATGTTTGACTCCCCAATTCCCAACATTCCTGACAATGTTGGCCGAGAATAACGGCCAACAACATTAGGAAAGCCAGTTTTCCTATCCATAACGTCAGCAAATGGTATAAAGGAGGAGCTACACTGGTACTAAGCTATGGATCTGATATGCAGTGATCCATTGCATGGAGATTGCACCGAACAGATAATTAACAGGGCATGCATTCCATTTCTTCCTTGCATATAAAGTTGCTGAGGCAGCTACAAGCTAGTCTGAGGTCTTACAATTGCATGGGTCTGGAAATATCAGGGCAACAGACTCTTGAATAAGGACGGCTATAATGAAAAAGAAAAAAGGGTTCTACAAAGAAGCTGCCATTGATAATGCATAGACAGATGTAAAGCGGAAAATGTCCCTTTTTTGTCAGCTTCAAGTTCAAGTTTGCTGTGTACATGTTAATTGGAAAGGCACAAGTTTGTTTACAATACATAATATGAAAAAACAGTTCCAGCAAAATTTTAACATACAGCACAAGGCCCCCACTTTTACAAGTTAATACATTTTCTTTTGGAAAAAAACTATATAAAAATTCGTATCTACCCACAAAACACACATCATTTGAAAAACAACAAATCTAATAGTCCAAGACAGCCAAGCTCATAACTAAGTAACATAAATATGCAGATAATTATGAGTCAGATGCAATGTTGTATATGCAGCCATGCCTCCCACAATAGTTGTATTTGCCAACATTAAAAACAATGAAAAGTTTGTACAATAATCTGCACTGTGTGTATATATAAAAATAATAAGACTAAGATTGGACTGGCAGCCACAATGGGACTTTCTTCCCCCTTTTTTCCCCCAACTGGACACCACCCAAAATTTTGTTCCAGAGGGTTTTTCAGACCATCAGAGCCATTGGAGTGGGTATACTCAAGAGGGGGGTCTACTGGGGTCCGGTGGTCACCCCAGTTTTGCTTCTGCCAGATCATCCACTTTTTTATTCTGCCCCGAAACTTCAAGCACTAGCAAGCTTTCCAGTAAAATTAGAAAGAAATTTGTATCCCTGAATGAGAAGTCCTAAATTTAAGTAGCTACTGAACTAGGAGAGTGGGCACACAAGATAAGTGGTGAAGGAAATGACATCTATTCAGCATTCCTGAAAATAAAAGCCAGATGCTTTAAAGAAACAAAGAAAAAGGCTCAGAATTAGCACAGAGCAATGATAACAATGGCCAAAATCTTGCAGAAGGCAAATGGAATAATTTGCAACACCTTGCTGCTGACAATTACAAGTCCCTGCTTAGATTTTCAGCTGAGTGGCAGTCCAGTTAGTTGGTGTGTGCCCAAAAATCCAAGCAGGAACTTGTTAATTGCCCCCAGAAAGCAGCAAGTTATACCTTTTGCTTTCCACATTTGTAACTCAGCAATAAGATTTCAGCCAATAGGCTTTAAGTCTTCCAAACTTTAAAGGAGTTCTGTGTCAAATACTATCTGCTTCCTGAGTTTTAAAGTATGTCTATAGTATTTTTGTTTGCCTAGGAAACTGAGAGAAAATCAGCTAGGGTGCTTATTGAAATAAGAGTGGGGGAAAACATGTTTCTGTGTGTAATAAAAAGAAATTCTGTACCATTTCGTGAATTCCAGGCTAACCAAGTACAAAATGCTAGCAGAGAAATGACTCTGAAGAAGTACAAAACTGAAGCTGAGTAGCAGATCGAAGTAACTCCAGAAACACAAAGGCTGCTAACAAAGCATTAAAAAGCAGACTGTTACTGCTGCTTAGGATTTCAAGTTGCTCTACGTTCTTGGGATTCTACTTGCTAGACAACAAGGTGTGACTCACTTATCAAAGCATGGGCTGTTTTCTGTTTTCTTATTTGTTTTTAGAATACCCATTTTAAAAAAAGTACACCCACATATGAGGAAAGTTACTATAAGCCCCAGAAAACCCCAGCTCACATGGCCAGTGGCAGTGCAGGTCGGGATTTTCTAGGAATCATAGTCTAAAAAAAGGTATCTGTCCTGTCTCTGGCTAAGCTGCTAGTAATTAAAATGAAGCAGAAAGAGGAGGGAGATATGATGACTAGTTAGATGGTCACTCAATCAAATTGTCCACAAAATAACAAACAGGACAATTTTAGGCCTCAACAGAGCCTATCCAAACAAACGTCTTTCCCCTTCATGGAGATGTTTTAGTGAGGTGTTTTGAAATAACTGTCAATTTCAATTCACGTTCGTATCAAATATTATTGCTCTCATTAAATTGGTGCCAATTAAACATGAATTCTGAGATGGCACATCATGCTTATAAGTCACTTCAGGGTTGTGGCCGTAGGGTTTAAGGTCCAGGGCACATAAAACATGCAGCTAGCAAACAGAACTGAAGGAAAGTGAGAAACACTTTGTGCCTTACGTTCAGAAATGTAGGGAGAGAAAGCGAGAGAATGGCTTAAATCCAGTGGCCTAGTTGCAACTAGAGTAGGTCCATTAATTCAGTGGAATCTGGTGAGACACCCATGTAAGTTCCATTGATTCAATGGGCCTACTTTAGCTGCAACTTGACCACTGGGTTTCAGACTTTGTGTAATTATTCCAACCCTGTAGGAGTCCAGAGTTTACTCACTCCAGCACACAGATGTAACAACAGCAAGACCTGTTTTCAATATATTACTAGAACCTTTGTATGAGTGTGAGCACCTTGTGGCCCTTCAGATACTTTTGGACTCCCAACTCCCATCAGTCCCAGCCACCATAAATGGTAGTGAAGGATATTGGGAGTCGTAATCCAAAACCATCCACAGGTTTGTCTGCCTCAGCTTTAAACAACTGTCACGAACAGAGATGCTGTGCAAAGCATTTTAAAGAAAGGCCCATCTGAGGCATGTTTTTCCACTTTTAATTCAGAAAGGCCAGGCAGTGAGAGAGAGACTCTTGCCACTGTTGTTCAGGTCCAATACGCACAACATACCACACAAGCTTTTCATGGTCTTGTGCTCTCCAGATGTGTTGGGCCACAACTTCCATCACTGGCCCTTCTGCTTGAGGATGGTGGGAGTTACATTTCATGACAACTGCAAGGCTAGCAGAGGTTACATTACACTAGTCTTCCTTCACAGGGCCACTTCACACTTTCTCTGAGGTATCTCCTTTGTCTAGGAAATTGGGTAAGCAGATGAGACACAAGGTAACCCCACCAGCACCATTACATACAGAATTCACTCCTTACTGGGAGCTCCATGCAATCCAGTTTATCACATTTTAATGGCTATGTTAGAATGTTAAAAGGTGACTTAACGGTATGGACAAATCATTGCAAGTGTACGGCTGACCCTGAGAAATTCTGCAACTGTATTTGGACTACAGTATGAATGAAAATGGCCTGCTTTGTCTTGGCTAAAATACAGATATAAAAACAAACCCATCCACACATCAGAAAGTTTCTAAAATCACATTCAACAAATCTCCCCCCCCCACTTTGCCCCAATCACACCAACGTGACTATACTGATAGGTTTCTGAACCACAAATAAAATATTACAAAGGCAATTCTGTGATATACCATTAACGTCAATGTGGCTTACAACCTAACTGTAACACTCAAGTGATTGTGTAGAAACAACAGTGGCCAGCTTGCAATGGGAAAGAAAAATGCCTTCATTATCTACACCAGAGATTGGAAGTGTTACTATTTTCTCAACTACAGTTCCCACAGTCCTCGGCCAGGATGGCCTGTGGGAATTGTAGTCCAAGAAGGCAACATTTCGGAGCTCTGATCTACACACACGCAAAACACAGAACAAAACCAGGAGCGACATTAAACCGGTATGTTTTTTTGGGGGGGGAAACAAATATATCGCAAACACCCTCAGTAATTAAACTGGCGCTGGCAAGGCTGGTGAACAAAATATCCGTTTTTGAGTTGCCGGGAGTAGCAATCCCTGGTAAGGTTTTGGCGGCGAAGGCAGTTTCTGTTCAGGTACTGTCTTTCCTGGTTTTCTTTTGTCCACTGGGAAGGCCGAAAGCTCTTGGTCTGTTCAAGAAAGGCCGAATGAGAAGTGAGAGCAGCAATGTAGCATCGAATAGGTTGACCCACGTCACTCTGAACTTCTGATCTGAAATTCAAAGCAGAGGAATCAAGGTAATATGTTGCACAGCCGTGACCTGGCTGCACAGAAGAATCCTCAGAGAAGCGAGAAGCATCTAAGCTGGAAATTTTAATACTGGCAACCTCAAAAAACAGATATTTTTGGAAGCAGATGACACACAAACCCAGGGGCGGCACAGAGGCAGTTCCTCTTAGGTAAAGGCAAGCCCAAAACCTTTTGTGGCAAAAGGGCGCCACGGCCACATTGTATAAATATAAGCCACCCATCACTTGGCAGCAGAGTCTTCCTGAAATGCTTCTTTACTCCATGTGAGGCTAATTTAAGAGGCACAGGGCTGCTCCCCATAGTGCACAGAGCACTATGGATCATGCCAGAGTCTTTCCCTGCTTTCTTGTACCGCACCTCTGCTTTAGCCCATTCTGAGGGAATGTGTATATCCATGACAAGTTAAGCTAAGCCGGGCTGGCAATAGGGGTTAGCAAATTGGACATTAGCCAAGACCAATATCCCAAGAGAGAGACCCAATCTACTTGCTGCTGATTACTTACTACTATTGTGGCGTCCAGGCAAACAGTGACAGGAGGAAGGAGTAACTCCATCTTCCTCATACCTTGGAAGTTATCTTTTGGTTTTCATCTCCCAGAATCCCCAAGTGTGGCCATGCTGACTTGCGAGTTTCTGGGAGTTGTAGTCCAAAAAGGTGGTTGGCTTAGAAAGTCTTGGACTTAATTTTTTAAAAAGGTAATTTCCCAAAGCTCTGTTCTCAGCCAGCTCTCATCCTCTTGAATGTCTGGGCCTCGAGGAAAAGGGTATGTGAAAGGCAGAGCCTGGTATGATTCCCTATCTGGACTAGCAATTCCCAGAATCCTCCAGCCAGTAGGGACACTGTAATCCAAAAACGGAATGCTCCCATGATTTGGTAATGAGGAGATAGTAAACCAACAGGGATGGGACACTAAAGTTATGCTCTCTATGATGAGCCCCCTCTGGAGGAAAAATTGGTACTGATTTTTTTCTAGTATAAATGCATCCCATCACCATCATATGTAGCTAACTGGTTAGTTACCAGTTAGCTACATATCTCCACTGGTTCAAGGAGGAAAGAACATACCTAGGACCGCTAGCATCCTGAGGTTCTTCCTCTTCTTCTTCCTCATCACAATTGGTCTTGTTGAGGCTGTGGCAGGTATTGTGGACTGCATACACCGACATGCTGGGATGTTCAATCAGAAGGTTCTCCAAAGGACTGGTTTCCACTTTGAGAGTAGCCACACCACCAGCTGTGAAACATGGAGGTGGAGTAATAAACCAGCTTTCCTCCATGGGGCACGAATCAAACTGGATGAAGCAAGAGTCGCTGGTATCAGCCAAACATTCCAAGGATGTAGACAGACAAGAGAAGACAGGTGGATGGTCCACAGGTGATGCTTCATGGAGGTCATTATTTTCTTCCTCCTCCTCCTCCTCTTCAATCATCGAGAGGTTAGTACACGTGTCTATTGGGAGTTACAACAGCCATTGAGATGAGGGGAAAGGTTGATTGAAGTAGCCAGAGATTCAGATGGTTTACAGGAAGAAAGTATCCCCACTATGAACAGATTTAGATCACTACGTGTACAGGATGAACTGCGAAACAGGTAGAATTTTTTTAAAAACCCACAAAGGTATTAAACAAGCCCAATCCAGTTACCTATATTTGGGCTTATGCTTCTGTTTGTGTGGATCTTTTCTAAGTACTTTCTTTGAGAGAGGGTTGGAAAGTGGGGAAAAGACAGGGGAGTTTCTGATGGTGGGATCCCTGGAATGCTTTCCTCAGTAAATTCATGTTGCCTTGATATTATAATCTTTTAATACCAGGGTTAGATATTTCTCTACTCCCAAATATTAATGAAAATATTGATGAAAATGCAATTGGTCAGTTTTTAAATACTGAGATTATGCTAACTGATTACCTCTAACTGGGGAAAAAGTACTGTAATTTTATAGTAGGCATTTACATATTCGGTTTTTGATATTTGTATATTTTAATTACTGTAAACTATCTCGAGTCTTTTTTAGTGCTCTAATCATCATAATCAAAATTATCACCATAGTAAGGAAAAAATACTTCTTTTGCACAATCCTCAGAATCCCCCAATGTGCCTGGGGAAACTCTGGCAACTGTAACTCACAAGAACAGAAGTTCCTAACCTTGAGTAAACCAGGTGTTCTTGGACTGCAACTCCCAGAAACTCCAGGCAGCAAAGCTGGTGGTGGAGGCTTCTGGGAATTGAGGTCCAAGAACACCTGGGTTATCCAAGGTTGGGAGCCACCACATAAGAGAGTTCTATAAGCTATGATAACCATGACAATGACTAAGAGAACAGCTGTGGGGCATCAGATCATGTATAGCCTTCCCTCTGCTGTACAATCAGAATTTAAAACCAAATCAATACATGGACCAAGAGGACGTGTATAATATACAGTGGAACCTCTACTTAAGAACTTAATCCGTTTTGGAATGGTGTTCTTAAGTTGAAACGTTCTTAAGTTGAAGCAAATTTTCCCATAGGAATGGACTGAAAACCAATTAATCTGTTCTGGCTGTTTTTTTGTTATGTAGGGGTGCGTTCGTACATTGAAGCATTAGTTCCCATAGGAACTAATGCAAAGCTGGTTAATACGTACTCTACCACTAGGGGGAGAATTTTTTTTAACCTAAGATGACCTAAGGTTAAAAGAAGAGCAGGAAAGGTTTTTTTTTCCCCTGTTCTTATCTTGGATTTCTGTTCTCAAGTAGAAGCAAAATTTAGCAAATGGAGCTGTTCTTAAGTTGGATTGTTCTTAAGTAGGGACGTTCTTAACTAGAGACCCCACTGTAATCACTGAACAAGATTGTGAAAGGGAAGAAAAAAGAGATCAGCCATTCATGGATGAGATAGAGGGGTTACTAAACTTGTAAGGAAGTACAGAAGCCAACTTAATGAAATCGGGGTGGGGGGAAGTATGGTTAAAGAACATGCTTTTGACTTTGGGCAAGATTTTTTGTGTTACACTCCTTTCTTATATATGCTTGTATTTAGCCAGAAACATTCCATACCCAAAAGAAGAGAACTCAGTACAAACTCTTCTTGCTTCCTGCAGTGTATTATCTGTTTAACAGGTCTCTTACCTATAAAGTCCACCAGAATCCACTCTTCTTCCTCTTTCTCACTGAACTCTGGCTCTTGACTGGGCAAATGATTGATTTCTCTCACAAACATGTTGTTCAACCGCTGGAACATTACTAAGGCAATCACAAGGCTTCGGCTAGTACTCCTTCGTATCCAAGAGTAAAAGGTACAGCTTCACAGTGTGCTAGCCAAGGACACAGGTAGAAGATTAAAGTGCATGAAAACTTATCAGCTCAGGCACAGACCGCAGGGAGGCATGGCTTGTAAACAAATGCTACAAAATCCTGCCAAAAAAGAAAGAAAAGGGATTTGTAATGCTTTTATACTGGGTTTCCCAAATCAGATGAGATACAATGTATTTACTATGCAGTGATGGTATTCTTATTTACTGAAACTTTATTGACACAGAGTTTGTTTACCTCACATTTGCACATGAGTAGGATATGCTAGTGAAATAATGTGTGAGGGTTGTAGGTATTTCTGGGGAAGTCACTTTGAAGCTCTGAAAGATATCACAGGGTCATTTCCAAGCTGATGAAGAGTCACATCTGGCCTCAAAAGCTACATGGATAAAGCCCAAGAAAGTGGAAACATTTAATTAAAGGAGTCACAATTTCTCCAGACAGCCCAAATCTCAAAACATCATTAGTTGCCTAGAAATAAAATGTACATTTCCTAGAAACTTCAAAAGAACCCACTCCTCTTATCCCCCCCCCTCCGAGCTTGGAAGCAGTTTTTAAAACCCTAATTCCCAGAATCCCCCAGGCAACAGCTACACTGGCTGGGAGGACTGTGGGGATTTACAACCCAACAGGTATCCTTTGCAATGTCTGATTATTCCTTTAAATCAGGAGTGAGAAATGGGTAGCCCTTCAAAAACTGTGGAACTGCCTCTTCTATAATCTCTAGCCAACACAGACCCTTGCTCTGGTAAGTGGGAACTCCATCTCAGCCATATCTGGAAGATCATACCTTCCCAGTCCTGCTTTAAACATTCTTGGGCAGCCCTTCTGAGGGGGGCCCTGGTACCTTTGAAGGGGGGGGAGATTTTTTAAAAAATCAATTTGTTTTGCTATTCATCTGTTTGTCTTCTATCCTTGTTTGCATGGCGGTCCTGGAACCTAAAAAAAGTTTGTAAAATGGCTGTGGCCAACAAAAGGTTGAATGGCTGTTCTAGATTAAAGTTCTGTTTTCCTCTCCCTAAACATAAACCACCAGTTTTATACTACACTTGTTGAACATACATTTGCAGACAATATCATTGTTTCCAGTAGGGGGCTCAAGAGTGCAGGCTTTATTTTCATCCACAAGGACAGCTGTCAGCCACCAGATTTCAATTGAGCAGATATGCTGCTTTAGGAGAGTTTGACAAACTTTTGGGAGTAGCTTGAATATTGATGCTATTTGAGTTGAGGTGTGAGGAGTTATCTATTTAACAATACAGAACAGGTGGATATACAAAAGAGGGTGGATTTGGTGAGAAAAATTCTTAAACTGGGCTTCCTAGTCACATTATGAACACAACAAAAGCTCAACTTTGCTACAGCATAATTCAGAGATTAAAAAAAGATATTAAGGACCCTATTGTGCCTCACAGGATGATGCAATAAACGGCATACTAAGGAAACAACGGGTGACATCCTCTTAAATAGCTATGTGGGCATAACTCAGTGTTAACCCTTGTGGTACCTACAATTGCGCCAAAGTGGAAAAGCACTATTTGTGAAGCACTTGCACCAGCATACTCAATTCAATAGTATCACTGTTGAAAACATAGATCCACAGCACAGTCAACATGCCCAGTCTTTTTGCCAAGGTGGAACATCTGGCATATTTACAAATGTGCATGGCACACCTTGATGGATACTGGTCAGTAGATATAATTGTGGCCCCTACCCCCACCCCATTTACCAAACAAAGGCTGGTACAACAAAAATGACCACAGGCTTGGAAAAGTTATACAGTTTGAAACTTTAATTTTGGGGAAAAAGGGAAAGTAGGGAGTATCATGATAGACAGGCATACAGAGTATGCAACGTCTGAAAAAAAGAAAAAGAAAAAAAGATTCCCACTCTGTAATATTCAAACTCAAGGCCATCGAAGAACTTGAACAGCACACATTCAAGATAGTCAAGGGGAAATACAGATCCCCACAGTGCACAGTTAAAACTGCCACCAGTCTGAACAGTTTTAAAAGGGGATTAGGCAAATTAATGAAAGGGAAATTTATTTAAGGCTACTAGACATTGTGGCCATAAATCACCTCTAGCATCAGAAAAACACAACCAAGAAGCTACTATTGTCCACCTGACGTCCTCCTTTAGAATTTCCCATAGACCACAGCATGAAAGCCTTGTATGTTGTTGGTTTTTTTTTTTTTTTGGACTTCCACTTAATCTTTTAGGAAGATTCTAGAAATTTCTATCAAAAAAGAGAACTTTTCTAATCTTCCACAGGCATCCAGTTGGTCATCGTGAGAAAGGCAAGATGAATCAGAAAGGCCTTTTATGGGCTGACCCAACAGGACTCTTCTTATATTCTCACAGTCTTTCCTGACCCACTGCAAATGTCTCTCCCAACTAAGTCGCTCTTAAAGACTGTCTGGTAATTGAAATTGTACCCAGTGAAGCATCCCAATCACTACCTCGGACAGAGACCAACTGCTCAGGCCTTGCACCCATCAGATCACCTGGTCCCAGTTGTATGGTTCATGCAGATCCAACCATCAGCCCTCCTAACAGGTAAGTGCTCACAATGGTCAATTAATTTATTTTCTGTGGCCTATTCATTTGAGAAATGCTATTCCACATTCTTCGCTGCACATCTCTTGTTCAACAAAGTATTGAAACCCACAACTGTAGGCAACCTGAACAATGAATGTTCAAGGCAGGCTTCCCTGGAGAACAGTGATTCCCACCCTCCCCATAATCTTTATGCACTGATTGGAGAGCTGCAAACCACCCTATTCTTTCCCAATCAAGCACCATCCTGTACACACCACTATCTGATTCACTGGATTGCCATTCAGTGCTGTGGGCTTCTCTGAATTATTTGCTCTTTTGGAGTTCCTTCCTAAAAAATTCAACTGAGAGACCAGAAGGAGCAAGGGAGAGAATCAAATCGCCACCATTTTTAAAGTTTTTTTTTCAGGTCTTGAAAAATTGAATTTTTATAGACAGTGTTTCTCGGAAGTTCTAAGATAACATGACCGTTGATTATGGGGTCTGAAAGATTCTGGAATCTGTAAGTCAAAAAAGAGAGAATAACTTTCTAACCTAACTTACAGTATGGACAATAATCTGCTTGGAAAGCTCCCATACTATGTTGAAAGAGTATCCGATACCTTTCTTCTCGCAACTTTTTTAATCTTCTTGTCTCACCCAACCATAAAAGGTTGGAGTAAGCAACATGATGGGGGGGGGGTGATAGGAGTTTTAATTTACATCATCCAGAGAGTTTGTGTCATTTAACTTTATAGGTAACTCTTTTCTCAAGCTTCAGGACAGATGGCAATAGGTCAGAACTCATTCCCGGCTCCACTGAGTCATGAAACTCTTGAGCCAATCACTCTCATTCACCCTTGCCTACCCCTCTGGCAATTGTTCTGACAATAAAGTAGACAACCTTCTTAAATTTCCTTGAAGGCAAGATGTAAAAGTAATCTCTCTCTCTCTCATACACACATACATTTTCATTTAGACAGAAAGGAAAATCCCTTTCTAGTTTTTAACTCTGGAAACAATGTAAAAAGTAGCCTTTAAAAACATCATACTGTCAAATGATGTCAATTTTAATGTTTGATTATTAGGTTTTCTGTAGGTTACCATCCATGTATTGGTTATAGTGCCATTTGGATTCAGTCATAATGGGACTGAAGTAAGTAGAGGTTGTGGGGTTTTGCTTAGTTTCTTCTTTGTACACTACTCAGAGTAGTACTGTGAATCCACTTCTCTGGCATTTCATAAATTAAACAAATACATGTTTAACTCTGGAAAAGATATTAAGAGTATTTTACAGACTTTATCTTGCTGAAATCCTTACAACAGGGTTGGGCACTTTAGTGCATATGGAGGCCACTTTTCTACCTAGGAACATCTAGAGCTCCAAATGGTGAAGAATAAAAAAAATGAAATTGGAAGTTCAAAGCTTTGAAAAATAAGCATACTGTGGTATTAAATGCTGTAGGAGACTCTTATCACCTATTTTAAAAAATAGTTTTCATTTCAGATCAAGGGAAGTTGTTCCTGTGTTTTGTCTTGTTTTACAGCAACTCTTGTGAGGCAGGTCAGCATTATTACCTTTACACTGCAGATGATGGAACGTAGCTCAGGAAGAGTTCATTTAAAGAGTTCTAGTGAGTTCACGGCAGAGGCTGGATTCAAACTAGGGGCTTCCCACTTCTCCGTGCAGGTTTTTAAGCCTTTAGGCCAGTCTTCTCCAGCTTGGCACCGTCCACATGTGTCACTCTATGATTCTCATAGACTGGTAGGAGTCACAGGTTGACACATCTGGAGGATGCCATGCCAGCTCTGCAAACAAACAAAACTGCCACACATTGCAGGGAAGGAAGAAAATGTTCTCGCCAATTCCATAGTTAGATGTACGTACTGTTTTCTACCACTTGTGGTTGTTAAGTTCCACCAAATCATTTCCAACTGAGGCGACCCTATAAATTAATGACCGCCAAAAGGTGGCATTATCGAACTCAAAGGTACAGCTTCATGGTCAATCCCTCCTTATTAAGTCCTCTGCTTCTCCTGTTGCCTTCAATTTCTCCCAGAATCGTTGCCTTTTCCAGAAAGTCTTGCCATGACATCTCTGATGTACGCTAGCCTCAGTTTAGTCATTTTCCCTTCTAAAGAGACTTTAGGCTTCATCTGACCCACTTGCCCTTCTTCTTTCTTCGCTGCCACCATTTCATCTGACCCACTTGTCTGTTTTTCTGTCAGTACATGGTACCTGTAAAGTTCTCCTTCAACACATTTCACATGAATCATTTTTTTTCTGTCAGCTTCCTTCATTGTCCTGCTTTGCTTGCAGGCATTTTCAGAAACCTTAGAGAAGTGCTCCAATGTGTAACTTCCCACATCCCATCCTGGAGTTTGAAGGAGTGCCATCTAGTCTAACACAGCAGGAGTCTTACCACCTCATTCTGCTTCATGCAGAGATCATGTTTAAACAGGATCAGTGGTGCTTTAAAAAGTTTGAGAACTGTTGCTATTAGAAGATATAGGAAGTGTGAGAGCTACTGTTATAGAACAACAACAACAAAAAAATCTGAACCAGCACTCCGGGTTTATAATCAGCCCTAGAAACACCTAACTATATCTGAAAACCAAATATTAGGGTGTGGCGATCCCCTCTGAAGCCCCAATCCCCTCAGGTCTTCACGAGATTCTCGCCCTTCTTCTTTCTTCACTGCCACCAGGTATTGCTGCTTCAGTACCATTCAATCGAGGAGACATGTGTGCTTTTGAAATTTAAATGATTTATTATATCAGGGAAGTTGACATATGATTAATATTCAATAAGCAAATCACAGGTTGCTAATCACTTGTATTTGAATCAGTTCTACTTTAACTTGGAACTTCTACTAACACTCTGTTCCATTCAGAGTTCTTACAGATCTCTAACTCACTCTAAGTTCACTTTTAAGTTACACACTGTCTCTCACTCACAGAATCTCTCTTCATGCTCCATACACCAGCCATTATAATCAGCCCCCTCCCCCCCCTTGGCTCCACCTTCTGTCCTCTCATTGGCTCCTACTTCACTGTTCAGCTGTGACGGACAGGTGAGGGCAGGGCTGTTCGCTACATAGGGTTTTTCTCCACCTCAATCTCCTGTATTCTCCAGAATTATATCAAAAAGTCAGTGTGGTGTAATGGATTGAGACACTGAAAATTAAAGCTTTAGTCTCCACTGTGCCATGAAACCTGGTGAAGAGAGCTAGGCTCAGTCGCTCCTTCAGCTTGACCTCTCTTACAGACATCTTGTGGGAGAGGGGGAAAGAGCCCATGTACATTGTCTAGAACTCACTAGAGAAAACGAAGGATGTAAACACAATAAAATAAATAAATAAAGCCGCACAAAGACTACTGAATTGGTCTGAGGTTGCACCAGACTGAGTGAGTCAGACTTACAGAAAACAATGTGAAATGTTCTTGCAAAGGAAAACAAAGGACACCAGGGCAGTTGCCCAATGGAGTTGTGTCAAAATAAATACTTGGCCAACATGAAGAAAAAGTATTCTCTTCCTTCTCAAAGGTAGTTACACAATTGCACAAAATAACACACCACTGCAGGTCCTACACCATCTCACTGGCTGAGCCAATGCTCCCTGCTTTGCAGGAGTGGCAATATGAATGTGTGGTTATCAGAACCTTTCCCAACTTGGTACTCTTCCAGATGGAATAGAACTGCCATCATCCTCAACCAGCACAGCCGTTGCCCACCCTAGCTGGGGAATGAGGGAGTTTTCATTCCAACATATACATCATAGGCATCCTTCAGTCTTGAGAGACTATGGTAACATGTTCTGAATCGAGGAGTGTCCTCTCCAGAGCATGAAGCCCGGGTAAGGTAATATGGAGGATAGGCTGTTACCCAAGCAGCAGATCCCCCCTCTCCACATTGCTGAAATGGTCCAATGGAAAGGCAAGAGCCAATACAACATATAGAGGTCACCTAATTATTGTAGATCATTGGATCACAGGTTTAGGCATCTGGCTGCAGAGCCAGAAGTTGGAAGTTCAACCGCCCATTGTGTCTTCTTGACAGGGGCTGGATGATGATTCATATGGCCTTTTCCAGCTCTGCAGTTCTAAGATTATTATTATATCACAATCATCATAATCAGGTGCCATCAACTCAGTTTTGACTCATGGTGACTCTTTTCAGCGTTTTCCAGCTAGAGAATACGCAACCGTAGTTTACCCTTCCTTCCTTTCTGGGGGCACCCTTGGACTGGGCAGCTTACCCAAGGCCACCTGGGCTGGCTTTCCCCCAGGAGGCACAGTGGGGAATCAAACTGCCAACCTCTGGCTCCACAGCAAGATACCTAAACCACTGAACTATCTAGCCAGCTACTGTAGATTATCTAATTAGGGCCTAGATCTAGACGCTATTTTCAACTAGAGGCGCCCCACTGAATCGGCCCCTAAGTCAAAGTGGAAGTCAAAAGTTGTTGAAATTTCATTAGTGCAATCAACGGGCCTTTTCTAGTTAGGATTAGCAACTGGATTCCTGACTATTTAATTAGACCATCATGCCTTGTGAAAGAATGATTAGTATTAGACTGAGGCCACGAAATCCAAGTTGGAATCCCCACTTAAGACAGACATGGACCTTGCTCAGGGCCTGGCCTACCTCACCAGGATGTAACATGCCCTGGAAACAAGCTTGAGCTTCCTGGAGAGAAGGTGGAAAATAAATACAGCAATCCTACTGGGGTGGCTCATGGATGTGGCAGGACACTCCCCAGATTTGGAGGATTCCTGAGCTGCCTCGGGTAATAAATATAAATATACACTCTTCCCACACACATACACACTCTCTCTCCTAGCTTTCTCTGGGTGTGACCCCCGGGTGCGATGACCGGACTTGCCCCCGCCGGGGGGAAAACCCAACAAAGCTCAGAAGGAAGAAAAGAAGAGGCTGAGCGTGAGTCACCCGCCGGCCGCTTCGGGTTTGTTTTGATCGCCGGCTGAGCCTTCCCTGGGCGGCGCCTCCGAAGAGGTCTCTTGGCCCGCCACACCTGGATGCCGCTCAGGGGAAA